AGCGTCTGGAAGCCGAACTGGGGAGAACGCCCAAACCCTTCAAAACCCACCAAAAATCAGTGACAATTTCCTATTGGGCCCCTCCCGGGAGTGCTGTCGGAGACCTGCTGGGACGCTTTGGCAACTTTTTAACCGTCTTGGAGTGCTCCCGGGCCGCTTCGGACCTCTCTTGGGCTGTCCTGAGAGCGTCTTGGCGAGAAAACCTTGCTATTCACATGTTTTTTTGTGGTTTCAGCTGGAATACCAAAACAACAAAAAAAACATGTGAATAGCAGGGTTTCGTAGCATCGTGGCGAGAAAAACATGCTATTCACATTTTTTTGTTTCAGCTAGAAAACCAAAAAAAAAAAAAACTGTGAATAGCATGGTTTTCTCGCCGCCAAACCACCAAACACTGCTATTCACAAGTTTCTCTGGCGCTCATCGGCGCCGACCATCGCCGGCGAAGTTTGCAGACCTCTGAAAACCAAAAAAACCAAACAACACCTGTGAATAGCAGTGTTTCGTGGTATCACTGACCAAAAAAACAAAAAAACAAAAAAAAACAGTGAATAGCAGTGTTTTGTTGCCCTGCTGTTTCTCCTCCTCCTCCTCCTCCTCCTCCTCCTCCTCCTCCTCCCCCTCTTCAGCCCCCTCGTCCTCTTCGTCCTCCTGCCCCTCCTTGTCCTCCCCCTGCTAGCCCGACCCCTTTTATTCTTACTCCTCCCGTGCTCATCACCCATCTCCGTTCATATTTCCCCCCCCCCCCCTCCTCCTCTCCTCCTCCTCTCCTCCTCCTCCTCCTCCTTTCTCCTCCTCCTCCTCCTCCTCCTCCTCCTCCTCCTCCTCTTCCTCCTTCTCCTCATCGTTCTCTTCGTCCTCCCCCTTCTCCTCTTCCTCTAGCTTCTCCTCCAAAGAAGCTCATGGGAGAAGATCTACCACGAAACCCTGCTATTCACAGTTTTTTTTGTTTATTGTTTTTGTTTTTTTTTTGTTTTTGTTTTTGTGTGTTGTTGTTTTTTTTGTTTGGTCAATGATGCCACGAAACATTGCTATTCACAGATATTTTTGGTTTTCAGAGGTCTGCGAACTTCGCCAGGAGGCTGGTGGACGGTGACAACCTGAAAAAAACATGTGAATAACAGGGTTTCGTAGCATCTTGGCGAGAAAACCTTGCTATTCACATTTTTTTTTGTTGTTTTTTTTGGTTTCAGCTAGAAAACAAAAAAAACAAAAAAAAAAAAAAAAAAAAAAAAAAAAAAAAAAAAAAAAAAAAAAAAAAAAAAAAAAAAAAAAAAAAAAAAAACTGTGAATAGCAGGGTTTTCTCGCCGCCAAACCACCAAACACTGTTGTTCACAAGTTTTTCTGGCGCTCATCGGCGCCGACCATCGCCGGCGAAGTTTGCAGACCTCTGAAAACCTGACAAAAAACAACAAAAACCTGTGAATAGCATTGTTTCGTGGTATCACTGACCAAAAAAAACAAAAAACATGTGAATAGAAGTGTTTTGTTGCCCTGCTGTTCCTCCTCCTCATCCTCCTCCTCCTCCTCCTCCTCCTCCCCCTCTTCAGCCCCCTCGCCCTCTTCGTCCTCCTGCCCCTCCTTGTCCTCCCCCTGCTAGCCCGGCCCCTTTTATTCTTACTCCTCCCGTGCTCATCACCCTTCTCCGTTCATATTTCCCCCCCCTCCTCCTCCTCCTCCTCCTCCTCCTCCTCCTCCTCCTCTTCCTCCTCCTTCTCCTCATCGTTCTCTTCGTCCTCCCCCTTCTCCTCTTCCTTTAGCTTCTCCTCCAAAGAAGCTTATGGGAGAATATCGTGGTAGCTATTCACATGTTTTTTTTGTTGTCAGTGATGCCACGAAACATTGCTATTCACAGTGTTTTTTTTTTGGGGGGGGGTTCAGAGGTCTGCGAACTTCGCCAGGAGGCTGGTGGACGGTGACAACCTGAAGAAACATGTGAATAACACGGTTTCGTAGCATCGTGCCGAGAAAACCTTGCTATTCACAGTTTTTTTTCAGCTGGAAAACCAAAAAACCAAAAAAAACATGTGAATAGCAGGGTTTCGTAGCATCGTGGCGAGAAAACCATGCTATTCACATTTTTTTGGTTTCAGCTAGAAAACAAAAAAAAAAAAAAAAAAAAAAAACTGTGAATAGCAGGGGTTTTCTCGCCGCCAAACCACCAAACACTGCTATTCACAAGTTTTTCTGGCGCTCATCGGCGCCGACTATCGCCGGCGAAGTTTGCAGACCTCTGAAAACCAAAAAAAACAAAACAACATGTGAATAGCAGTGTTTCGTGGTATCACTGACTAAAAAAAAACAAAAAACCTGTGAATAGAAGTGTTTTGTTGCCCTGCTGTTCCTCCTCCTCCTCCTCCTCCTCCTCCTCCTCCTCCTCTTCCTCCTCCTTCTCCTCATCGTTCTCTTCGTCCTCCCCCTTCTCCTCTTCCTTTAGCTTCTCCTCCAAAGAAGCTTATGGGAGAAGATCTACAACGAAACCCTGCTATTCACAGGTTTTTTTGTTTTTTTTGGTCAGTGATGCCACGAAACATTGCTATTCACATTTTTTTTTTTTGGTTTTCAGAGGTCTGCGAACTTCGCCAGGAGGCTGGTGGACGGTGAACCCCTGAAGAAACATGTGAATAACAGGGTTTCGTACCATCGTGCCGAAACCCTGCTATTCACAGGTTTTGTTTTTGTTTTGGTTTCAGCTGGAAAACCAAAAAAAAAACCAAAAAACATGTGAATAGCAGGGTTTCGTAGCATCGTGGCGAGAAAACCATGCTATTCACAGCTTTTTTTTGTTTCAGCTAGAAAACAAAAAAAAACAAAAAAACTGTGAATAGCATGGTTGTCTCGCCGCCAAACCACCAAACACTGCTATTCACAAGTTTTTCTGGCGCTCATCGGCGCCGACCATCGCCGGCGAAGTTTGCAGACCTCTGAAAACCAAAAAAAAAAACCTAAAACAAACATGTGAATAGCAGTGTTTCGTGGTATCACTGACCAAAAAAACAAAAAAACATGTGAATAGAAGTGTTTTGTTGCCCTGCTGTTCCTCCTCCTCCTCCTCCTCCTCCTCCTCCCCCTCTTCAGCCCCCTCGTCCTCTTCGTCCTCCTGCCCCTCCTTGTCCTCCCCCTGCTAGCCCGACCCCTTTTATTCTTACTCCTCCCGTGCTCATCACCCTTCTCCGTTCATATTTCCCCCCTCCTCCTCCTCCTCCTCCTCCTCCTCCTCCTCCTCCTCCTCCTCCTCCTCTTCCTCCTCCTTCTCCTCATCGTTCTCTTCGTCCTCCCCCTTCTCCTCTTCCTCTAGCTTCTCCTCCAAAGAAGCTTATGGGAGAAGATATACCACGAAACCCTGCTATTCACAGTTTTTTTTTGTTTTTTTGGTCAGTGATGTCACGAAACATTGCTATCTACAGTTTTTTTTTGGGGTTTTTAGAGGTCTGCGAACTTCGCCAGGAGGCTGGTGGACGGTGACAACCTGAAAAAACATGTGAATAACAGGGTTTCGTAGCATCGTGCCGAGAAAACCTTGCTATTCACATGTTTTTTTGTTTTTTTGCTTAAGCTGGAAAGCCAGAAAAACCAACAAAAAAATGTGAATAGCAGGGTTTCGTAGCATCCTGGCGAGAAAACCATGCTATTCACATTTTTTTTGGTTTCAGCTAGAAAACCCAAACAAAAACAAAAAAAAATTGTGAATAGCATGGTTTTCTCGCCGCCAAACCACCAAACACTGCTATTCACAAGTTTTTCTGGCGCTCATCGGCGCCGACCATCGCCGGCGAAGTTTGCAGACCTCTGAAAACCAAAAAAACCAAAACAAATGTGAATAGCAGTGTTTCGTGGTATCACTGGCCAAACAACTAAAAAACATGTGAATAGAAGTGTTTTGTTGCCCTGCTGTTCCTCCTCCTCCTCCTCCTCCTCCTCCTCCTCCTCCTCCTCCTCCTCCTCCTCCCCCTCTTCAGCCCCCTCGTCCTCTTCGTCCTCCTGCCCCTCCTTGTCCTCCCCCTGCTAGCCCGACCCCTTTTATTCTTACTCCTCCCGTGCTCATCATTTTTCTCCCCCGCCTTCTGCCTTCTCTCCCATATTATTCTTCTCCTCATCATCATGTAAAACATCCGTCAGAAGGTGGTGCTGCTCCTGTCGGCCGCAGGCGCAACAAATGGCACAACCCAACTCGGCTGTACGCTCGGCCGCTGATGGCGCAACAAATGGCACAACCCAACAAATTGCTCCTGGGACATGGCTGTACGCTCGGCCGCTGATGGCGCAACTTATATACTGCAGCCGAAAGAAGAATATTGCATTCTCAGCCGCCCAGGGCGCAACCTCTGGCGCAACCACTCGGAGACGGTTGCATTTTCGGCCGCCGAAGGCGCAATTGTTATGATGACGCTAAACCCACATTTCGCTTCGCGGATTGCATCTGCATGGTGAGTGCGAGTCTGACCATACACTTGGTCTCATAAGAACTGGAAAACGAAGAGGGTGATGAGGGGGAGAAGGACGAGGAAGAGGAGAGGAAGCAGGGTGAGGGGTAGGAGGAGGAGGAGGAGGAGGAGGAGGAGAGCGATGGGGATGAGGAGGAGGGATGGCTTGGAGGTGGGGGCGCTGAGCTATGGTTGGCGAGGAGGCTGAGGCGAAGGAACAGGAGGATGAGGATAACGAGATCAAGGACGAGGAAAAGGAGATGGAGAAGGAGGAGTAGGAGGAGGTGGAGGAGGAGGCGGATCATCGGAGTGATCGCATGCTGGAGGACGGGGTGCTGGGGGGGGGGCTGAGCATATATATAATATATTATACATATATATATATATACACGTACACACATGGATACACACACATACGCATCGTTCGTTCTGCATCGGCCCGTTGATGTTACCACTTCTGGTAGATGGGTTGGGTGCGTTCCTGGGTATGCTTTGCTTGGCTGTGCAAGCTAAGTCCAAGCTGCCGGGGCCCCGCTTCGGGCTCTGGCTTAATCGAGTTCAGTGCTGGGGTGTTCAGAGCATGCGCAGGGTCATTGCAGTCGTTGCAAGTCTGGCTTCCACGCGGTTGCAGTGGCTCGGCCATGCAATCATCCAGCCTTCGCGCTGTATTGGCTCCAGAGGCTTCCTGGCTCAGATTACTTTACACTACGTGCAGCTTCGGCCGAACTGCCTCCGTCTGTTCCAGTGCCTGTCCAAGCCACCCGCTGTCGGGATGGCGGCTCAGAAGGCACCCTGGGCCATGTGGTTGGCGGGGGTGTCTGTTCACAGCACAGCGGTAGCCGCATTGTCTCTCAAGGCCGACAGCGCCCTGGCGGCCCCAGAGGCAGCCGAGAGAGCCGCTGCTCGGACGGCCTCCGTCGCCCTGCTGCCGGAGACTGGCATCTACATGCAGAAAGGAGGCGAGTTTGTGACGTGGGGTTCAGGGATGGACCCAGCATCGGGATCTGATGCGCAAGTGTGGTATATGCGCAAGTGCTCTGGAACTGACGCCGCTGCCTGTTTGGGCGACGGCAGCGCCTGGACGTCTACCACCAGTGCGCTGCTCTCGGGGGACGTGGTGGCGTGGCACAACAAGCAATCAGGCCTTGTGTATGACTGTGCACATGGGGGTGCACCGATAAGCCCTACCCGCCGCCGGGCGGACACTGGGGAACACCGTACCGCATCATCACGTTATCCAGTGGTTCAGCTGTCAGCGATGGTACTCCGATTTATTCAATCGCTTCGCTCACTCCGCCGGCCCATGTTGCATGATCGCTACTGCTTCGCCGTGGGCCCGGGGCCATTGTGGCGCCGCCGAGGAGGAAGAAGATGAGGATGGGGAAGGGGAGGGGAGGAGGAGGAGAGGATGAGAAGGAGATGAGGAGGATGAAGATAAGTAGGAGGAGGAGGAGGAAGAGGAAGGGGCGGAGGAGGAAGCCTCTCGTTGGCATCTTGTGTTGCTCTTGGGGCCAAACAGGGTCGTCGTCAAGATGCTTCTCTGGGAGGCCTCTGGGGGTCTTTTCAGAAGCCGTTCGAGGGCGCCTGGGAGGCATTTTTGAAGTCTTCTGGGGGGCCTCCTGGGGGCCTCCTGGGACCTCTTGGGGGCCTCTTGGCGGCATCTTGGGGCCTCTTTGGGGCCTCTCGGGGCCTCCTGGGGCCCTCTTGGGGCGGAAGGCTCGAGGTTTTGGTTCGTGGTCCCCCTCTTGGGCCCCTCTTGGGGCCGTCTTGGGGCCGTCTTGGGCCGTCTTGGGCGCCTCTTGGGTCGTCTCGGGGCCCTCTTGGGCCCTCTTGGGGCCCTCGTGGAAGCCTCTTGGCCCGTCTTGGGGTGCTCTTGGGGGCCTCCTGGGCCGTCTTGGAGCATCGGATGGCCGAAAAGGGGACAAGGCCCAAATTCTTTCAAAACCATCGTAAAATGTCTGATTTGGGCCTCTCAGGGCCCTCTTGTGAGGCCTCTTGGAGGCCACTTGGAGGCCTCTTGGGCCGTCTTGAGGTCATCATCGGCGTCTTGGAGCGCTCTTTAGGCGTCTCGGGGGCCCTTTGGGCAGTCTTGGGGGCCTCTTGGGGCACTCTTGGCGCGCTCTGGGGGGCCTGAGAAGCCACACCCAGGAGGAAAACCATCTCTGAGTAGCAGTGGTCGGGCGGCGGTCGGGGTACTTTTCGCCGGGAGGCCCCCAGGGGCCGCCCCGCGCGCGCGAACTAGAAGTATTGTTTAGCAGTTACCGGAGATCTTAGCACGCCTTTGGCCCGTTGGGCCGGCGAATTTAGGTGACGAGGTGTATTACTACGGTATGCAATACAGTGTTTTCACGTCGTCTCACATTATCGGCTGCGGAGATTCGTATTGCACTGGTTCGTCGTCAAATACAATCAGCGGGAACACGTTCAAGCTGTGTAGCTCCTACGAATGCGCCGACGCCCTGCTGCCGGAGACTGGCATCTACATGCAGAAAGGAGGCGAGTTTGTGACGTGGGGTTCAGGGATGGACCCAGCATCGGGATCTGATGCTCAAGTGTGGTATATGCGCAAGTGCTCTGGAACTGACGCCGCTGCCTGTTTGGGCGACGGCAGCGCCTGGACGTCTACCACCAGTGCGCTGCTCTCGGGGGACGTGGTGGCGTGGCACAACAAGCAATCAGGCCTTGTGTATGACTGTGCACATGGGGGGTGCACCGATAAGCCCTACCCGCCGCCGGGCGGACACTGGGGAACACCGTACCGCATCATCAAGTTATCCAGTGGTTCAGCTGTCAGCGATGGTACTCCGATTTATTTAGGTGACGAGGTGTATTACTACGGTATGCAATACAGTGTTTTCACGTCGTCTCACATTATCGGCTGCGGAGATTCGTATTGCACTGGTTCGTCGTCAAATACAATCAGCGGGAACACGTTCAAGCTGTGTAGCTCCTACGAATGCGCCGACACATCCACGGCCAGCCCCACGTCCAGCCCCACGGCCAGCCCAACGGCCAGTCCGACTGCCAGCCCAACGGCCAGCCCCACGGCCAGCCCCACGGCCAGCCCGACTGCCAGCCCAACGGCCAGTCCCACGGCCAGCCCGACGGCCAGTCCCACGGCCAGCCCGACGGCCAGCCCAACAGCCAGCCCCACGGCCAGCCCGACGGCAAGCCCGACCCCGAGCCCGACGGCCAGCCCCACGGTGAGCGCGACAGGTGATCCTCACCTCACCAACCTGTTCGGACAGCGATTCGACCTCCACAGGGAGGGATGGCACACGCTGGTGCGGGTTCCGCGGGGCGCCCAGCGCAATGCCGCCCTTCTAAGCGTCGAGGCGGAGGCGCGGCAGATGGGCGCGGCGTGCGCGGACGTGTACTTCCAGTCGGTGAACCTTACGGGAACATGGGTTCGCACCAAGGGCCGTGTCTTCAGCGCCAACAGTGTTGCCAAGAAGAAGCACCCGCGTTGGTTGCGATACGGCAAGGTGGAGTTGAAGGTCGTGCATGGCCACACCAAGAGTGGCATCGTCTACCTGAATGTATTCGTACGCAATTTGAAGCGTGCAGGCTATGTCGTGGGCGGCATCCTCGGCATGGACGACCACACCGCGGCGGTCGCGCCCAATCAGAAGTGCCGGAACACGATCAGCTTGTAGACGGGCCTGAGAACGCCTCCACCACATCAGTCGATTTTGAGTGTGGAGGGCGTGCGTGTGTCTTTTGTGTTCTGAGACGATCAGAGCCTGAATGCTGGCACTAATCCGTTCACGATATTGTGGTGCCAGCGGTAAGAAAAAGCCTGAAGCATACGTTCACCCACTGCTGCGTCGTGCTTCCATATTATGCTCAGTTCTTCTCTCCTGGGTTGGGGCCCATGTCGAGGATGAGATCCTCCCGACCTGTCCCGGGCGTCGTCGTCGTCGTCGTCGTCGTCGTCGTCGTCGTCGTCTGTCGTCGTCGCAGTTTCCCCCTAGGGAGGAGGAGGAGGAGGAGGAGGAGGAGGAGGAGGAGGAGGGGGAAGACGAATACGAAGAAGACTAAGAAGAAGACTAATACGACGCCGACGAAGAATAATAATATTAAGACGAAGACGGATAATATTAATACTAAGAAAAATAAAAGGAGGAAGAGGAGGAGGAGGCGGAGGAGGCGGAGGAGGCAGAGGAGGCGGAGGCGGAGGGGGCGGAGGAGGCGGAGGAGGCGGAGGAGGCGAAGGCGGAGGAGGAGGAGGAGGAGGAGGAGGAGGAGGAGGGGGAGGAGGAGGAGGAGGAGGAGGAAAAGGAGGAGGAGGAGGACGAGGACTCGGGAGGAGAACGAGGAGGAGAAGGAGGAGGAGAAGGAGCAGGAGGAGGAGGAGGAGGAGGAATGTGCGAGATGACTTTCGAAAGCTTATGCACATTTTTCTTGTCGTGTCTCTGGCGCATTCGGTATTTAACGGCCCGCTGACGCGCGACTCGGCGTCGAGCTCAGACCAAACCGCGGGGAGGACGGGCGGCGTCGGGTGGGGGCACTCGGAGGCCGAGGCCGAGGCGAGACCAGCGCGCGAAGCGGAGCAGAGAAGGTAGTGACCGCAGAGCGGAGAGCGGGGCAGCCCTTCGGGCCTCCTCGGGGGCCTCGTCGTCGTAGCCCAAGGTAGCAGCGCATTTTCACGCAGCAATGGCCAGCGAGCTGCAGCCCAAGGTAGCAGCTCATGTACAGTGCTGGCCGCTGCATCCCCGGCACCTTCTGCTGAGAACACAATCCATGTGAGGGGTGTGCCAAAAAGGGGCGGGAGCGCCGTGCGAACCAAGCCACTGCGCCTTCGGTGGAGCTCCCTGGGGGGCCACGGAACTTGTGAGGAGTGTGCCGAAATGGAGCGGGAGCGCCCTGCGAACCTTGCCACTCCGCCTTCGGAGGGGCTCCCTGGGGGGCCACGGAATTTGTGAAGGGCGTGCCGGAACGGAGCGGGAGCGCCCTGCGAACAGGAAGCAGAAGGCATTATAGCCGGAGTGCAGTATCCCCAAACAGGGTTTTTAGACCCACTGCGGTTTCCAAGGTCGATTGCGTGCCTGTCCAGTGCGGGCTGGCATGTCATGTTAAAACATGCCTCCTCCTCCTCCTCCTCCTCCTCCTCCTCCTCCTCCTCCACCTCCTCTTCATCCCGAACGGCATCTTGGAGCCCAGAGTTGCGAGGATGTCTCCAGCGTAACGGGCTGGACCACCTTGCTCACGGCATCTCAGAGCTCAGAGTTGCGAGGATGTCTCAGGCGAGATGGGCCGGACCACCTCGCGCGCGCAGGGCATCTCGGAGCCCAGAGTTGCGAGGATGTCTCTAGCGTGACGGTCTGGATCACCTCGCGCGCGGCATTTCGGACCCCAGAGTTGCGACGATGTCTCGGGCGAAACGTGCTGCGAGGAAGTCTCAGGCGAAACGGGTCTCCTGGACCGCGCCTGGGGCTTCCTGAAGCCTCTTGGGGCTCCCAGGGGGGGATATCTAACATGTGGCCGTCGGGGCCCCCCAAAATGGGGAGGGGGCCACAAGAGCAGGAAAAATCAACGAATCGGCATCGGATGTGTATTAACTTGACACGTTCTGATAGGGGGCCTCCTGGGAGCCTCCTGGGAGCCTCCTGGGAATCTCCTGCGGACCCCTGGGGGCTGTCCTGGGCGTCCTGCGGCCTCCTGAAGCTCTCTGGGGCCTCCTGGGGCTCCCAGGGTCCCAGGGGAGGATATGTAACATGTGGTCTTCTGGGTCCCCAGGCTGGACCACCTCTTGCGCGGCATCTGGGAGCTCAGAGTTGCGAGAATATCTTGTGCGAAGCACGCCGGACCACCTTGCGCACGGCATCTCAGAGCTCAGAGTTGCGAGGATGTCTCAGGCGAGACGGGCCGGACCACCTCGCGCAGGGCATCTCGGAGCCCAGAGTTGCGAGGATGTCTCGGGCGAAACGGGCTGGACCACCTCTTGCGCGGCATCTCGGACCCCAGAGTTGCGACGATGTCTCGGGCGAAACGTGCTGCGATGAAGTCTCAGGCGAAACGGGCCGGACCACCTCGAGCGCGGCGTCTCAGAGCTCCGCGTTGCGTGAGCCTCCCGGGGCCTCCTGGGGCCTCCTGGTGACTGGGGCTCCTCCCCCGGGGCCGGTTTTGTGAGGATGTCTCAAGCGAGGGCGCCGGTTTGGGATTCGTCGGCGGATCCACCGGATCTGTCCGGAAACGGTGCCGGAGGCCGCTCTGGGCTCCTCTGGGCACCGCCCCCGGGGCCGGTTTTGTGAGGATGTCTCAAGCGAGGGCGCCGGTTTGGGATTCGTCGGCGGATCCACCGGATCTGTCCGGAAACGGTGCCGGAGGCCGCTTTGGGCTCCTCTGCTCCCCGCGCCGGGGGTGAGGATGACGGTAGTTCCACAGAAACTCCTTTAAATTATCTTGCACATGGTTTCTCACCGCGGTCTCTATACGCCCCAGTCGCCCAGGCATAGCAGGCGTGGCACTTTCTCGGCACCACAGGGGGTGCGCAGGGGGTGGTCTCTCACCGCGGTCTCTATACGCCCCAGTCGTCCAGGCATAGCAGGCGCGGCACTTTCTCGACACCACAGGGGGTGCGCAGGGGGTTGTCTCTCACAGCGGTCTCTATACGCCCCAGTCGTCCAGGCATAGCAGGCGTGGCACTTTCTCGACACCACAGGGGGTGCGCAGGGGGTGGTCTCTCACCGCGGTCTCTGTACGCCCCAGTCGTCCAGGCATAGCAGAGGCGTGGCACTTTCTCGACACCACAGGGGGTGCGCAGGGGCTGGTCTCTCACCGCGGTCTCTATACGCCCCAGTCGCCCAGGCATAGCAAGCGTGGCACTTTCTCGACACCACAGGGGGTGCGCAGGGGGTGGTCTCTCACCGCGGTCTCTATACGCCCCAGTCGTCCAGGCATAGCAGGCGTGGCACTTTCTCGGCGTCCTCGTCCTCGTCCTCGTCCTCGTCCTCGTCCTCGTCCGTCGTCTCCTTCAGGCCCTCACCTCCTCGCTGCACGCGTCTCGCCCATAGCTCGCTCCACCACCGCTGAAGGGGAGTCAGGTCGAGGCTGGAGCCTCGAGGATCGAAGTTCGCTTCCGAGAGTTTCCGTCGATTTCCATATCTGGCGGCCGTTTCCGTTGCGGGACCCTCAAACATCGATCTGAGATGGAAAGCTCTCTCCGAGGGAGCCTTGCAGGTGTCCGAGGAACGGATTTGAACAGATTGCGAAATGATGCCACAGATAACTGCAGCAATTTCTGTTTGGCACCTGAGACGCCCATCACCTCACCCAGCGGTGACTGATTACATGACGTGTTTCCATAGGCCTACTTGCAAATGGCACTGTATTTCAAATTGTATAATATAATTAACGCGCCTCGCCGAGAGCATTCTGGGGGCCTCGATTTTTTGGGACCACGCTGTGGTCTCTGCCGCTCTGCCAAAGACCCGCCGCTCTCTGCCGGTGTAGCGAAAGAGTGCCTCCGCGAGCTAAAACGGCCAGAAGACACGCTGGTGCGAGGGGCAAGATGCTGGCGCGACGGTGCAACGCAACGCGCCACGCCGAGAGCATTCTGGGGGCCATTTTGTATGTTATATAAATTAGCTCCTGTGTGCCACGCCCTGTGAACTTCTGTTCGGGTGCGATTTATTTTCTCCGGCGAGACATGCCGTCGGTACAGATTTGAACCCTTTTCCCGGGGCGGAAATTAGGGCAGTGATTCGCTGGAGACAAGCGGACAGGCGTAATGGACCCATAAGGCAAAGCTTCCTCCTGGGCCAAAGCCTGGCCCTGAGTAGACCTACGAGCATCAGCCGGGCGGCTTGGCCCCGGGAGCGTGGCTGGAATCCAGCCGCCTTTCGGGTCCGGGCCGCCCATCAGGGCTGTGAAGCAGACGTGCGAGTCCTGGTTCCAGGTCGCGCGGAGGGCGTGCGACGCGTGGAGTGTGGCTGGTATCCGACCGCCTCCTCGCTTCGCAGCGCCTTTGTAACGCCAGTCCCAGCACGCATGTAGCATCAGCATGGCCACGGGGAGCAGAGGGCATGGGCAAAACACCGTGCCCATCTTGGCTCAAGACATTTGGAGCTCCAGCGAGCCTCCGAGTGGAAAAACCGTCGATCCTGCCTGGGCCGGCGGGCGGCATCATCGGTGCTGCCTGGCGCTCCGGCGGATCACATTGCGGCGAGGTTCCCGAGGCCTCCTGGCCTCTCTGTTCAATATAAGTTGGTGTAATTTGGCTCGGCCTATCCTGTTGATAACGAGGGGCCGCGCCACCGCCACCACCTGCAGAGGACCCGACTGGGCCAACACTTGTCGAGACCGAGGCTGCGGGAGACCCAGCTAATAGTTGTTCAATTTGCTTTTCTGGGATATCCGTGCGTGCATCCGCTTTGTCCATTCGTTCCGTATGTGGCTTCAGTGTGTCATCTACTCGTTTGATGTCCGTCTTAGTCGATTGAACAACATGAATGGGATCCTCATGTGCGTCCTCCGTTTTCCAGACATGTTTCATCATCATCTGTTTGAAAGGATCCGTCTTCTGTGCCAGCATCAAACTTCTCTCCCGTTCAATCTCTTGCCCCCGAGCACGTTTCGATCGATTCCCATTATCATTTGTCATCGCGGCATCCACCGCTGCAGCTCCAACAACATGAGTCATACTTTCAAGAATACTTCCGTCCACACCGTATCTGCCGAACCAATTCTTATCGTCTTCTCGTTGTCGCTTGTTCGAAGCAGCCTCCAGTGCCTGCAAATCTTTCCGATCCCAAGGTTGATATTCCTCAAAACAATCGAAATTTATCCTCTCGTCCCGATAGGCCCCTGACGGTATTATCAAAATTCTCTTGACGGCGAAACCACTCGACAGCGTTTTCTCCCCAGTGTTCAAGATCAATCTCTGTCCTCAAGGCCGGCTGTGCCCCAGGGCTATCGTACGACGTTGCGCCGAGAAACTCATTCAATACCACGCAGCAGAATTCAGCGCGCAATACACAGAGAGGTAATAAATGCAGACAAGCCAGGGGGGCTCCCAGGATCGCCCAGGCCTCGCGGCCCGAGAGGGGAACGCTGTGAGAACTTGAGCCTTTTTGATGGAGGTGGAGGAAGATGAGGATGATGATGGTGATGAGGAGGAGGAGGAGGGGAAGGTAAAGGGAAGTGGGCGAAGCAGGGAGTGAGCACTTGGAGAGCAGAGAGAGAGAGAGAGAGAGAGAGAGAAAGAAGAGGTGGAAGTGGCCGTTTTTTCTTCCGTCGGAAGTCTGGAGCGCGTTTCAGAGCTCCCCCTGTAATCAAAACCCCAACATATAAAACGGTTACAATGCCCGATTAAGGCGCGCCTAAACCCAGTAACACAAGTTACTCATTGGCGCGCGGGCGTCTTCATCACGGCCTTCTTGGTCATGCGGCACTTGCTGAGAAAAGTGGCGCGCGCGGTCTTCTTCGTGACGGCCTTCTTGGTCGTCACCCGTTGAGCTGCATGGCGGCGCTTTCGGGGAAATGCAATGCCTCTGATACTCTCCTCGCGGCTGTTCCAGTGGCTAATGGTTTCCTTTACCCACAGGCGATGAGAGCTTGGGCGTAGGCTGTTCAGGAAGAAGTTGAAGCGTCTGATGAAGGAGTTGAACTGCTCCGCGCACGACGTGTTGACCTCGTCGAGACGCTTTTTGGCGGCAGGTGTAACGCGACGGCAGGGGCAGTCGCACTTGTGATTCGGTCGATGGAACTCGTCCACGCACCAGTGCTTACTGCTACCATAGAACTGCTTATGCCTCTTCTTTGCCCATGCTTTGAAGGAACACATGCCGTCATACACGAATAAATCAAACCTGACTCCCTGAAGAGTGCAAACCGCCTGGATGCACTGGCGCTTGTCCTCCTGGCACTCGTTATTAATGTGTTCCTTTGCGGCGAGCACGTCGGCGCGCCCCCCATCCAGCAAGAACTGCCATCCGCCTGCGCGGTTGGGGATCCGCGCCCTCTCAGAATGCTTGGAGGCACATGGAGCCACCCGTGCCTCGCGCTCAATCATCTTGAAGCTCTTGCGATTCACATGAGCCAATGGCTTCGTGCGCTCGTCCACGCCCTCCTCGAGAGCTCGGAACACGCCGAAGTGGCCGTCGAATGCGAGCGCCTTCACCTTGATGCCCGTTGGCGGCTGGAAGGTGATGACCTTTCTGTCGTTGCACACGCTGTGTGCTGGATACTCCACGTCGAACTGCACTGTCTTCCCGAGCGCACTCTCAGTCACCGCGACGCCTTTCCAACGCGTGGAGCAGATGATCCCTCAACGAGACTACAGACGGTATGTCGCTGCAGTTCTCAAAGAACGCACGGGTGACGGCGGATTCCTTGTCTGGCATCGCCGGAGAGTTCCTGAGTCAAACACCACCTAAGCTTTTAAATGAGATTTGGCGCGCCGCACGTTTCTGCAATTCCAAGGGGAAAAATGCCCAGTGGGCCTTAATCTGTCCAACCAAAAATGGGGGTGGGTATATGCCCAGGAACGCTTCTGAGAATGCCCGACCTGGCCAGGACGCAGCCGGCCGAACAACAACCGCATTTTGGTGACGCGCAGGTAGTCCATGCCGAAGCCAATGTTGGCCGTTGTGAAGTAGACGCCTGCTTCTTCCATCTGCTCGTGGGTGAGCACGTTTTTCCTTTCCGAACGCCCACATGAAATTGCCCCTATACGTTGTGCGACACGCGCTGCATCTTGGTCGCTGCAATGAGACCTGGTCGACGCCGCTAGGCCCCACAACAGTTGCGGTACAGTCAGCGTTGGTGTCTTCAAAGAGATTGTCATTGCACCCCTTGGTGGCGCATTTCCTGAGGAGGCACGAATACACAGGTAGCATTGTCTGCAAACCCTCTGGCAATGCACTTAAAGCAAAATGCGACGGATAATGCAACAACATGGACGCTGCACTACGCTGGTTCGCATGGAAGCACGCGCCGCTGCACTCCGAAAGCAATGACCGCCCAGGATGTGATGTTTTTTATCTCTTCAGCTCGTGTAAATTCAGTGGGCTTGTAAGATCTCACAGCGATGCTTACCGTCTGCGCATGCAACGATAAAAGTGCGACAAGTTGTAAACCAAATCGATCTTGCCGAACGCGCATGCTCGGAAATCGCAACGAAAAATAACACGACACCGAAGCGCACACCGCACATGGCGTCTCCCACATACCCGAACGTTGCTCGGACCACGGCCAGAAACGCTGAGAACCGATGGTACGGGGGGGGAGTCGCTCGGTCGGCGAGATCGGTTCCGCTTAGGAGGTGTTGCATTTTTCTCGCACAACAAAGTTGAGATACCGTAGCTCTCGACATATGGATTAGCCGCCCATGAGAAGACAGCGCTCTGGATGCGACGCTCACTCATCGAAGAAAGCGAACGGCTTCACGATGACGCTGATGCCCTGGCTGGTGCCCTCGCACGCGTCGATCCCCGACTGGATCTTTGCGGGACCAGCGGGCGTGGACATGATGGCTCCGTCGAACATGTAAACCAACGCCTCCGTGCTGCTGTCCTGGCCCTTGATCGCTTCGACAAGTTTTGCTAGCTCCTCGTCTTCGAGCGCGAACGTGGCGCACGCGAAGCGGGTCGCATCGGGGGCCCGACGGTCACCGAATTGGTTGCGCAGGTAGTGGAAGCGGGGGCTGTCCATAATCACGCGCCTGCCCTCGCCGACCTCTCGCCGCAGCGCCCATAGCGGCGGCAGCTCGTTCGTCGGCGCGCCCTGGACTTCGCTGCGTCGTCCGAAATCTCCACGTAGTCCTTGATGAAGCCCCTCCAGGCGCCCACGTGCAGAATTGACTTCCTCCAGATGCCGTAGGTCGTCGAGTTGTGCGTGATGCGGCGCGCCTCGCGATAGCCCATGCGGGAAAAGGCAGCCACGAAATCGACGTCGACGGCGTGGCCCTGGAACGCAGCCGCGCGCGCCTGCCTCGTAAGCTCCTGCGCGGCCATGCCGAAGGCGTACGTCCGCCCTGGAAGGCCCCACGGCCTGTAATACTTCACCTCGATGGTGCTGAAGTCGCCCTCCTGCGCGCCCTTGGTTTCGTGCCATTGAATGTAGCTCTCCAGTTGCTTCTGCCTGGAGTCTATGCCCTTGGCGCAATATGCGCGCAACTGCGTCAGGTTCACTATCTCGCGCAGGACGGCTGCGGGCTCACTGAGGTCATAATTTTGCACGCCTGTTGTATCGGGGTCAGAATTTGAATCGGGCTCGGAGCGCATGCGGCCGCGCTCCAGATCGGTCCAGATCCCCCCCCCCCCCACACACACACTCTTCGAAACTCCCGGGCTTCTCTCCGCAGTTCTCCACGCGGGACATGGCGTCCGAGAACTTTTGCACATCGATCTGGAGCTTCTGGTCGCCGCCCGCCAGAGGGGGCTTCTTGAACATATGCGGAAATGCATGAATGGAGTCATCCAGGTTTTGCAGCTTGGTCTTCTTGCCCTTGACGGAAGTGCCGCGGGCCCCTGGCAACAGCGTCGGTGAGAGAGACTGGAATACGTACGGCTTCAGAATTCGGTGCTTCTGCGTGGCCGCGTATGTCGAACAAAAGTTTCCGAGCGCCGTCACCTGGCCCGCTGCTACCGCCGCCGTTGGCCGTCGAATCCACATCCACGGGTTTTTTTTCCCGCCGTTCGCCATCTGCTGCACGAAGGAGATCGTGCGATCCTGGGTGCCCTGGCCCGGCAGCGATATGAAGCGTCTGCAGTCGTCGGCGGAGTACTTCTGAAGGAACGGGAGCAAGTGATGCAACATGTAGATGTGGCGCGCGACGGAGCTGTCCAGGAACGGCGAGAGCGTGGAGTCGTCGAGGAAGACGCGATCGCCCGCGCGCACCTCGGCGGGCGACGCGGAGTAGGAGCTCTCCAAGGGAATCACCAGCAGTCTACGACACCAAGACTTCAGCGAGGGGGGGTCGTGCGGGCCCCCGACCACGGAGGGCAGCGCGAAGCTCAACTCCCAGAACTTCCCCGCGCAGGGCCATCCGAAGTATTCAGCTGTCTCCCCGTAGTTCGGTCGACAGGGAGGTACTTCGCCGCTGGCGAATTTCTTGGCCACCTCCTCCTGCAATGGGTCCCCGCCGCTGCACTCCTGGATGGTCAAGAGGGACGCCCCCGCGAACTGGCCGCCCTGCTTCCTGAACTCGTCGTCTTTCTGCAGGCACGACGCGCTCATGAACTTGTGGGAGTCGGCGAATACGTTCGCGCGCAGCTTCGTCGTCGCAGACTTGCTGTTGCCGCCACCGCCCTGCAAGACTATGATTTTCGGCGGTGCAGGCTCGCCGTGCATCGCGAGAGCCTCGACGGCCATGACGACTCTGCGCCCTGCTGCCTGGCCCGCACAAGGAGTGCACAAGAACAGTCTGAGACGCTCGACGTCTGCCTGGGCAGGTGTGTACGTGAGAGACGCAGTGATGTGCGTGTAGCAATCGTTAGTCGGCGACCTCGGCATCTGCTCCAGGCGGTTCCCCGCCGCCCAATTGCCAGACGCGACCAGCGTACAATCCTCGAAGTTCATGGTGCCATTGGGCGCAGGGCGGGGCCGCTTAAACCAAGCGCCATAGAGCTTCACGCATTGCGACTGTCGGCCAGAACCCGTGCACTTCGAAAGCAACGTGGGCATGGGGCCTGCGAGTTCGAGCGGCCAACGTCCGACGACTTCTGGCTCGTCCATCCCTGCATCCCCTCGTCCATGGCCCTTGCCTCTTCCTCTGCCATTGCCTCCGCCAGGTCCTCGGAGTTCGGCATTCGTCACTGGCGTGAACTCCGAGTAGTCGAAGGCGCGAAGAGATAACATAACATCATCCCACTGCCGCGCCACGTCGTTCTGGGCCAGGTATACGAGCAGGCGAACAGCACGAGCCACACTTTCCTCCAGTGTGTGTGTGTGTATCCATAATGGCTTCGCCCCCATGCCGCCGGCCCCCCTATTTTCGAATGGGACTTGCCAGAGCTGTTCTGGGATGTGTGGACGCTGACGCGAAGCAATGTCGGGACTTCACGCGAGGGCCAGATTATTTTACAAGCGTTTCTGATTTCGGTGGCGCGAATATTAAGCAATGTGTTATGGTTTATCGTTTCAGGGACGTGTAGATCGTGTAATGTATACAGGTTTATGGCCTCGGGGACGCAAATATTGAGTAATTCACGAAAGTGTATGGCTTCGGGGGCGCAACTATGGTGTAAATTACTCGGGTTTATGACCTCGGTGACGCGAAGATCATGTAATTTGCAAACGTTTGTGGCCTCGGCGACGCAAGCATTGTGTAATTCAAAGGAGTTCTGCCCCTGGGGACGCCAATATTATTGTTGTTCTATGGTTGATGGCTTCGGGGGCGCAAGTATGGTGTAATTCACAAAGGGTTTATGGCTGCGGGGACGCGAATATTGCGTAATGTACGTGGTTTATGGGTTCGGGGAAGCAAATATTGCATAATTTACAAAGGATTATGGCTCTGGAGACGCGAATACCGTGTAAGTCATAAGGGTTTTTCGCCTCGGGGACGGGAATATGGTGCAATGTATTATTGATTATGGCCTCGAGGACGGGAACATCATATACTTTTTCGTCTCCCACGACCCCACCGGGAATTCGGACAACGCGATTCGGGGACGCTAGCCAGGACGCTTTTCGGCTCCCCCCTCGCGCGTTCAGCAACAAGTAAGGAAGCAGAAAGCAGGACTGTAACAGTGGAAACTGGAAACTGCAACTGGCACAGAGAGCTGCAAGCCTAATCTTCGCAGCCTGATGGCCCCGCAAGGGGGCCGGCGGATATATGGGTGCAGGGCCGGGGACCTTTTCCCAGGTGCTTCGGGTCGCCATTGTGGCTGCGGGCTCCCTGGGGACCCTCTCCTGCGACCTCAGGGCCACCCAGACGGCCTTAAGCTGTGTCACAGAGACACCAGAAGGCTTCATAATGTCTCGCAGGGCTTTCCGGCAACCCTAGATAGCTTCAGGGCGGCCCAGGAGGATTCGGCTTTCGCTCCCCAGAGGGCCCCAAGAGGCAAAAACAATTGGTTTAACATGGGGTTTTTCGATGTTTCTGGAATTCTCAATTTTCGAGCGTCCGACGCTCCCCGACGGCCCAAGAGGCCTCCAAGACCGCCCCAAGACGACCCAAGAGACCCTCAAGACCGCCCCAAGACGAGCCAAGAGGACCCAAGACGACCTCAAGAGGGGCCCAAGACGGCCCAAGAATAGCCGCCCAGACGGCCTTAGTGGCGTCACAGTGACACGAGAAGGCTGCGAGATGTCCCGTGGGCTTCCGGGCAGCCCCAGATAGCTTCAAGACGGCCCAAGAGGATTCCATTTTCGCTTCCCAGAGGGCCCCAATTGGCAAAAACAATTGATGTACCATCGGTTTTCCAATGTTTTTGGGATTCTCGACGTTCGAGCTTCCGACGCTCCACGACGTCCCCAGAGGCCTCCAAGACCGCCCCAAGACGGCCCAAGGGACCCCCAATACCGCCCCAAGACGGGCCAAGAGGGTCCCAAGACGGCCCCAAGAGGGGCCCAACAGGTCCCCACGACAGCCCCAAGAGGGGCCCACGAGCAGGAGACCGAAAGGACAATTCGAACCTTCCGTCCCAAGATGCCCCCAGACGGCCCAAGTGGGCTCTCCGAGCGCTCCCCGGTGGGCCCCAAGAGGCAAGAATCATCAATTTTCCAAAGTTGTTCCATGTTTTCGGGCCTCTCGACTTTCCCAGCCTCCGACGCTCCACGAGGTCCCTAGAGGCCCCCAAGACCGTCCCGAGACGGACCGCCAAGAGGCCCCCAAGAGCGCCCAAGGACGGCCCAAGGGGGCCCTGAGCGGCCCTAGACGCGCCCAAAACGCCCCAAGACGGTCCCAAGAGGGGCCCGAGCGCAGGAGCCCGAAGCGATACTTCGAGTCTTCTGTCCCAGATAGCTTCAAGACGGCCTTAAGAGGATTCGAGCAGCGCTCCCCAGATGGCCGCAAGAGGCAAAAACAAATGCTTGTCCTTGGGTCTTAATGCAGTGCCGAAGGTCTCGACTTTTTGAGCTTCCGGCGCTCCACCACGTTTCAAGAGGCCCCCAAGACCGTCCCGAGATGGCCAAAGAGGCCCCAACGAGAGCCCCAAGACGGCCCAAGAGAACCCCTGGACGGCCCTAGACGCGCACAGGACACCCCGAGAGAGCTCCGAGACGGCCCCAAGAGGGCCCTTAAATTTGACACAAATTTAGCACGAACCGCTTCCTCGTCAAGGACGGTCTTGTGTTAAATTTGTGTTAACTTGTTGGGGCTCGGGGGGGGCGTTGTGGGATCTCTCTTGGCGCCCCTTTGGGGGCTCCTTGGAGGCCCTATTTGAGCCTGTCGCGGTGGCTTTTGTGGGTCTCTCCGTGGTCCTGACGTCCAGGTCCATCGGGGATCGTCGTTGGAAGCCTTGTGGTCCTCGTCGGTTCTCGAGGGCGTCCTGAGCCGTCTTGAGGCCCTCCCGGGAGCTTCTTGCAGGCCCGGGACAGCGGTGCCAGGGATGGCCCCGGGTGGCCCACATCCGCGGGGGGCAGGACGTTCGGGAAGGAGAAGGAGAGACGAAACCAATGGACCACGAAAAGCCGGAGGCAAGAGTCAGGGAATGACGAGAGCGGAGAGTCAGGAGGAGCAGAAAGGGAGCACCAAGGGAAGACGGGAGGGAGGAGCAGCAGCTGAGTAGGGCCACGTTATCATTTCTCGTCCCCCGCCTCCTGCCTCCCTCCCATGAACCCCTCGATGTTGTTATCCGGAAGGGCTTCCCCCCCTGCCGCCGGCCCCTGTTCAATCAGAATGGGGCATGCCAGAGCTATGTCGAATTTTCCTCGGCGCCGTCGTGAAACAATGTCGGAACCTCATGCTAGGGCAACTGGTAAGTGGCATATCATGTTTACGCGGTTGTATAGCTTCGGGGGCGCGAGGATTGCGTAATGTACAAGGGTTTGTGGATTCGGATACGCGAGCATCGCGTAATATACTAAGGCTTCGAATATCATATGATTGACGTGGGCTTATGGTCTTGGCGGCGCGAATATTGCGTGATTTACGAGGGTTCATGTTTTCGGGGACGCGAATATTGTGTACCTTACAAAGGATTATGGTTTCGGGGACGCGAATATCGTATAAATTACAAAGGTTTCTGGCCTCGGGGACGCGAATATGGTGTAATGTACTTGGGATCATGGCCCCGGGGACGCGAACATCACGTACTTTTACGTGGCCCACGCCCCCCCAGGAATTCTGAGAACCCTCCCAGGGCGTAGTAAAAAATCCCGTTTGGGGCTCCCTCCCCTCGCGCGGACAGCAACAATTAACAGTAAGGAAGCAGAAAGCAGCACTGTAACAGTGGAAACTTGACACTGCAATTGGAACAAGGAGCTGCAATCTTCACCCTCACAGCCTGGTGGCCCCGCAAGGGGGCCGGCGGATTCTCTGTCCTGCCTCAATCCGCCTCCCCTCTTCCTGCGCCTCCTTCTCCTCTTGTCGATGGAGGCGGCACTCATGTTCCCGGGTCCCTATGCGAAGCCCCAGAGTGACCTTGCAGAGGGCAGCGCCTCGGTCCGAACTCGCAATCTCCGAGCCTCCCAAGTAGGGCCCACAGACGAGGCGAGAAGCACGGAAACCATGGCCAGGATGTCGCGGCATTTATTGATGCCCCCGTTGGTCATGGTCCATGTCAGCCGCCGCGGGGCTTTGGCTTTTGAAAGGGCCTCCGCCACTGCGGGGAGGTGGCTTCGACCCCCCTCCCCCACAGGCTGGGGGCGCACAGGCGATTGATGCGCTGGTGGCGCGGACGCACCTTGACGGGCGAGCAGGAGGAGGAGGAGGAGGAGGAGGAGGAGGAGGAGGAGGAGGACGCCGCGATCGCCGTCACCCTTACCCTCCCGCCCGACCCTCCCCCCGGGTAACGATCGGGTATGGCCAGGACCCCAGGTAAGGGGACCCGGTTAGTGGTCGGGCCCCGGAGCCTTTGAATTGGCCAGAATCACTAAGCCAGGTTTGCCATAGCTGGTGTTTTTTCGGGTGACGGCAGTTCCGGTTAGTGGAAATGGGACGGGGCGCCCCTGGTACAGATCACTGAACCAGGTTCCACTAAACCCAGTTCTGCCAACGCCCGAAACGACCGTTACCCGGGAAAGAAAAACAATGGTCACACAAGAACCCTTAGGTCCGACGTTGCAGCGAAGTTGCAAGTTCATGAAAAATGACGACTGGAGCCCCAGACCCCATCTTTCTGCACCATCTCTTCAGCCGGATCGATCCGTGATGGTAACGGGCCCCGGGGCTGGGCGAAAACGCACAGCGCGAAACAAATGCGACGCCCAGGGCTCAAGGTCGTCCGAGATCTGGGTCCTGGGCCGAACTAGCATAGATAGGGTCGGAGGCTCGCGCCGCACCGCCGAAACATCGCCGATGCGGCCTGACGTGGGTCCCGATGTTCTCCACGCCGACGGCGACGATGCATCGCCGACGTCGCCGACGCATCGCCGGTGCATCTGAAATGCATTGGCGATGCGGCGCCATCCTC